AATATAACTTATACACATTCTAATTTGTTATTAAAGTAATCTCTAAAACCATATTATATTCTTCCAGAAATATTGCAACCCCATTTAATAGCATTGGTGATGCATATACTATGTAATTCACTTTAAATTTCTCATTTATCTTTTAATCAAATAATTTATAATGTGTGATTTATTTTAAATCACAAGTTTAATTTTTTTTTCTTTTTATAAAGTTGGTATCCCATTATCCTAGTCAAACACGTCACATGAAATGGCATGGCGTGGGAGTATTTGTACATTGTAATCTTACGTACTGCATAATTCAATACAAAAATGGCAAAGTTAAGTAATATTGATCTTTTCCAAGGAAAAAAAGTCACCAATGATTCTTGTGATTTTTCAAGGTAGGGCCCTTTATGAACTAAAAGTAAATCTTATACAATTTTGGGTATGTTTGGTAGGGAGTAATTTTTTTTTTTCCTTATTTGTTTGGCTCAAACATTTTTCAAACAAATTTATTTTTTTCCAATTTAAGAAAAATGAGTTTTCTATTAAAAGAAGCTAGGGAAAATATTTTTGTAAATTCTCTTTCAGTCACACGGCCCCCACCACCTAATTCACCAAACGCTCTTGACCCCTAGCTCCTCAACCTACCGCCTTGTAACGCAATCGACCTTCGATTGACTTGAAACTCGACCCAATATGGCCCAATACGAGACCCACCCCAACTTGGGATCTGACTCGAGATTTAACCCCAACATGACCCTAACAAGAGATTTGACTCCCAATTCGAGACTCTCTTCGACCTGGGACCCGACTCCAATTCAGAACAATGACACAAGCTCATACCCAACCCCAAATCGACCAAACCCTCGACCCGAAACTTGACCAAGCTACTGGTTGGTGTCGGTGTTGGGTTTTGGCGTTGGAGTCTGGTCTCGTGGTTGGGTCGAGTCCCCTTAATGAATATCTTAGCTAGCTCCGCCACTAATAATTGACTTTAAGGACAAATTTGGTTAACTTTTGAATAGGAAAAATGACCGTACTAGATAGTATGAGTTTGTTTTCAAGTTCTAATAATGAATCTTGAAAATATTATTTTTTTTCTCATTAAGAGTGACTTTGCATGCAAGCAAGCATATAATATACTTGAAATATTTCCAATTTATAAAATTGCTACAGGTAGCTTAGCTAGTATCTGTTCCTTTTTCGTCCCACCAACAAAATATCCATTTTAAGTACATACTATACGAAGCCAAATTACATCACCCAAATCCCTTTCACGTTCCTTCCCTTTTTGAGTTTTTCTTGGTTTAAGAGTCAAATTTATATGCAAGGACCAAAGACTTTTTTTGTCGGTCGATCTTCTCATTTTCACTCTCATCCACAAATGTCATATATACGTACAACAACCATCTATTGATGTGATCGCGATATATGATATTCCTTCATTTTTGAATCTCAATTAGATATTTCGAGTTTGAGTTTTGAAAATTAATATTTTATTTAAATAAAGAGCAGACACTCAAGACGATGAACTCAATTAATATTGTATATATTAATTTTAAATCCTTATATAAATTTAAGTAGGCATCTGAATTAATCGAGTTAATGTGTTCTGGATACCACATAATAAATTTATGTAGATAAATGACTAAAGTCGTCCAAATGCATTAAATTTCCTTTTATTTCACCTTGCGTAACGTCTTTCTTCAAGTTTGAAAAACTTGTTCTTTTTCCTATCGAAAAAAATGGTCCCAGAAGATAGTTGAAGTAATTCTTCCTTTTTATTCAGTAAATGTGATACTGAATCTTTTAGAAGAAAAAAAAAGAGTGTCAAATAAAACACAAGAAATGGTCCAATATAATCTCCCTAGCTATATATCCTCGTACTACCGACACCTCATAAAAAAACTCTCATAATCTATAATTTCTTAGATCGATGGATTCCGAATTTAAAGTCTATATATTTAATTTAATTTAATGTTTATGGGTTGTGTAATTTTGTTATACATATATATTTAGTGATTTTTTCTGATAAATATATAAGATTTGAAATAAAGTTACAAAATCTTTTGCATATGATTCTAAATGATGAACTGAAGTAGAGTAGAGACCGATGATTTTTATAGTCATTTGGTCGGTTATTAAAAGATAAAGCTTGTATTCAGAAACGGACGTAATGTTGCAACAACAAATTCATTTAAACTCAGTATTTTCAACGCAGAGTATAAATGTATTTAAAGAAGTTTATTACCATTGTAATGTATAGTAGGTATGGATTCATAATTTTAAGAATATAATAGGTTCAATGCTTATAAGTTGAACTTGTAAAACTTAAATCTTGAATCCGTACGTTTCTACTTGCATTTGCTTCCCTTATTATAAAATTGATCCCATTTCTCTCTCTATGCCCCAATAATTGGTGAAATGTAAAGGTGTGGGGTGGGTGTGTAAACAAAGTCCTACATGGACCGTTGATAAAATTAATAAACTACACATAAGATGTAAGGCTTGTTAGTGATGTGAGAAAAGCGTGTAGACTTGACCCAAAGCAGATAATATTATAGTAATTTAGCTTCTTCTTCCTCTTTTTTTTTTTCCCTTGAAAGTTAGAATAATTATAAAGAGCCCCAAAGATATCTTAATATACAATCCATAAGGCATCACCAAATTTGCGTAAAAACCACTTAATTGCCTCACCTAGCTTCTCTTCTCTCTAGCTCTTCAACCTTAAATTCCAACTTTCACATCACTCCACACTTGTTCAAATTATATATAATTCTTGGTGAAAGTTATAACGTTGTAAGTAGCCTGAATATGATCTACTACTCTTATTTCTTATTAGATCATTAATTTTTTTGAAAACTCTAGTCCAATGGGGCGCCACTCTGTTTTTGTTAAGGAAAAAACAAGGAAAGGATTGTGGTCACCAGAAGAAGATGAAAAATTGTACAATTATATCACTAGATTTGGTGTTGGATGTTGGAGTTCAGTCCCTAAGCTAGCTGGTATTATATTATTACCATTTCATTAATTTCAATTAGGTCCCAGGTTTGAGTCGTGGAAGCAGTAGGTCACTAATGTTTGTATTAGGATAGACTGTCTACGTTACACTCCTGGGTGCAACCCTTCATTGATTGACTCCTTTGTTGGTATATTGTAATGGAATTGGAATGATGATATTTTGATTGTGTGAGAAATTGTTGTAGGTTTACAAAGATGTGGAAAGAGTTGCAGATTGAGATGGATAAATTACTTAAGGCCTGATCTTAAAAGAGGAATGTTTTCACAAGAAGAAGAGGATATGATCGTTACTCTGCACAAAGTTGTTGGAAACAGGTCATTAATACTTGTTTCTTATTAGATAAATGTAACTATTACTCATATGTTATCTTCTCATTTGCATTACTGTATTTTTCTTTCCATACGTGAATTCATTATGCTTTACTTGAACCGAGGGTTTATCAGATTCACCTCTCTACCTTCACAAGGTAATGGTAAGGCTGCGTACATACCACCTTCCTCATACCCTACTTGTGGGATTACACTGAGTATGTTGTTGTTGTTTGTATAAAGACCAAAGAAGAATTTTGAACAAAAAATGTGTTTTTTTCTTCTGCTTATTTAATTTCCCTTCATCTTTTGGGTTGTTTTGACAATTGTTTATTTGTTAATTTTTTGGGGCCAGATGGGCACAAATTGCAGCAAAATTACCGGGGAGAACAGATAACGAGATAAAGAATTTTTGGAATTCAAATTTGAAGAAGAAGCTAATAAAGCAAGGGATTGATCCAAATACCCACAAGCCACTAAGTGAAAATTATCAAGTAAGAAATGAGACAAATTGTACAGATAAGGCCTCAAGTTTGCTGATGCCCAAGCTCCCAAATATGTCAAACTCAGCTGAAATAGAACAACCATTTCACTTCAATAGTAAAAGAATTTTCAACAGTGAAGCAATTACTAGACAGTTAACAGAAGTTTCAAGAAATCAACTTGTGAGTAAACAAGTCTTTGATCCTCTGTTTCTGTACGAGTTCCAAGCAAATGTGAATCCAATTGGACATTATGTTCATCATCACAACCAAATTGAAGGGAATCAAGATTTTGGGTTTTGCTCAAATTTCCAACATGGACAGATGACAACAGAGAGTGGTATTTCTGATAGCTCAACTTCAAGAATGAGTACAAGTAACAGTTCAAATACTATGATTAGCCATTATAGTTCTGCTGGAATTCAGATGAATGAGATGTTGGAATGGGATGCTGACAACAAAATTGATTCTCTGATTCAGTATCCTTATGTTGGGATCAAGAATGAAGAAAATTTCAGTAATAATAATAATAATAATAATCCATTGAGTGGGGAAAATCTTGATGTGTTCCACCATATCTAAAATTTTGTAAATTTCATCTTCTTATATATACATAGAAATGTACAAAATTTCCATCTTCTTTGTGAAGTTTTGGCCAGAAGTGCAGTTCCTTATTACTGCATTATCTCAGGAGTTTAGATTAAAAATGGATTTGTTGTTGCATTTTTGCTTAATGATTTATTTGGTCAAATATTACTTCATGCTATCTGTCAAACAGAACATAGTGTCCTTGACTTATTTTTTAACTAAGCTGTCATTAGACTAAATCTAAGATTAGATGACACCAAGAACAAGCTACTAGGCTGTCGCATTTTTAAAAGTTAAGTTAGTCTGACTTCGATATCTCTTAGATTCACATATAATCAAAAGTTAAAACACACCAAATTCAACAGCTATTATCAACACGCATGTAGAAAGTTGGTTGTGCATTGAATACGTAGAAATATTAGTTTTCCAAAGTAAGAATGAGCAAGGTCAATGAACAGTACATGCTTTGCTAAAACATGTCATTTACAGTAGCAATATCCATGTGGCAGCACCAATTTTCAGGACTCTATTGAAAGAAAAAAGAAATTGAAGTTTGATGTTGTGTGTATGCGCAGTAGACAATACGAAAGGACTACTTTATGAACCAAAAACCCTTCAAAGCTTTGCCGTCAAACCAGTAGTAGTGGGCTTTGATTCACCATTTTCTGAAGCATCACTGTCTTTGCTTTCCAAGTCACGTCCCCGTGGTGGAGGTACATCTATAGCGGGAGAGCAGTTAAAGAATCCATGCGGCTGCACCAGACAGAAATAAGCATTACTTAAACTGGAGAGGTTTTAACGACAACTGGGTATATAGTGAATTGAGTAATTGCACTCAAATTGGTAAACACAATACATCCAACGGTAAACACAATATATAACCAGAAGTTAGATGATGACAAAAATATAACATAAGCACATAACATCTGTGACTCCGGAATACCTGAAGCATAAAGCCGATATGTTCGACAGGCATAACAGGCCAGTCCTCCAATCGAGGAACGTGCGTGATTCCAAAAACATACCTGTGATAAACAATGTGGATCAGAACTTCAAGGAATAGGTAACTTCTCAAAAACATATTTAACAAAGGATTATCCTAAGAACTTGAAGTTCCAGATCTGGAGAGTAACCAAAATTGAGTGTGGATGATTTGCTATACAACTGAAGCCTGCAACTCCAATGTAATAACATAATTTGAGGATTGCCAAGAAACTAACCAGAGAACAATGTCGCTTTCTTCCAGAGAGCGATCTTCCTTAACCCAAGAAGCTAATCCCTCGCCAACACGTGGATTTTGATTAGGGAACTCTCCCCCTGGAAAATCTTCTCCAGGTGCAAATTGTGTAACCCAAAGATTGTGCTTCAAAAATGCCGCTCTTCTCAAGAACTTAGCCTCAGGACCAGCCAATGGCAAACAGTTCTGACCAGGTACCAACTTGTACCCTGTTAGCTGACCTGTTCTGTTGGATGTTCTTGTGTTCCTAACCTACAAATCAAATTTTCACAGTCAAATTGATGGCTACAGCATTAGGGAGAGGGAATGCTTGTAATCGAATTTTTCTAATCTAGAAAAGACACAACAATTGGTCATATGACCAAGGACATTAGCTCTCTCAACAGTCAGTGGTCATGTTTAAGAATCACATTCTACTATGAGTACATAATATCTCAGCAGACTCTGCTAGGAAAGCAACATGAAATACTGTTTCTATCAATGGAAAGGGGATACAGTCAGGTAAGGCTTCTTACAATCCAATGACGAGCAGATAAAGGATCACAGTCTCGCATTGCTTGCAATTCAGACCTAAGCTGTGTTTCTTCGGCATAGAATGCATTATTGTGAACATTTTCCTTCCCAGGTTCTTCAACTTTGAGATTTACTTCAACAACCTGGAGAAATACTCAGAATAAAGAAGTTAAGAACTGGAAACTGGAGATATGAAATTACTTAACTTTCAGATGCACAAGGAAACTTTTGTTCAACAAAATACCTGATTGTGTGCTTCTCCTGGCTTACAATCAACTGCCATATTCATCCGAGCGACAAAGAAGTGCTGATGGACAGGTGCATACAATCCTGGTGATATTGTGGTGCCATATTTTCGAGATTCTCCAGGTTGCAATGCTCCCAAACTGAGAATTCCCGTGAGTTTGACTTCTGCTTCAATTTTCCCATCCTGCAGCCACAAAGTGTACGTATCATTTCAAAATGGTTAGTAGAGCTAAGCATATTTATGATCAGCAAATACATAGACATAATAGATGAGAACAAATCAAGAAAGTTCTGGGGGATGGATGAAAACTTCTGCTACTCACCATTGTCTTTGGCTAAGCCCTCCAACTCTCCCCCACACCCCACCCCCCAAAAAGAATAAAGATATAGAAGCATAAGCAAATAGCCCAAATAACAGTGCCATTATTTGAATCTAGATCAATTAAGCAAATTGGATAACATTTGTTCGCATTACCGAAATATAGTTTCACTTAGAAAGCATATGAGAATCATAAACACGACCACAGTTACAAGAAATTCTTATCTTACTTCTACTTGCTTTCTATTCTCTGAAATGGTCTAAATAAAATGTGAACATTTAAATGTCACCTGATTTCTTAAGAACATGTAAACAAATGAGTATTTCCTGATAATGATTTTCTTATTCTTGCCTGGTAAAAGTGCCAATAGAATCCATATTCATAGTTGGCCACAGTGCAAATAAACGAAACTGTCAGTCGTCTAGACCGTCTAACTTCAGCAAGGTTAGTTCTCCAATCTTGATGCTTCCAAAGCATCCCGTGATCTTCTTCATGCAAACATACACAATTTTTGATGGTTTCTACTCCTCCAGTATAATTTGTAAAGTTGGCATCAAAGTACTTTATGTATCCTAAACAATCGCAACCCTGCAGTGGTGTTTTAGTTATATTAGCATTTACAGTTAAAAATCGAATGCACAATTAAAAAATAGAATTGTCACTTACCCTCTTCAGTGAATGAGCATTCTTTCCAAGACCATCTTCTCCTGCATCAAATGCGTTTTTTCTGTAATGTGGGTCATTTGGATCTCCATAGGGGACAACCATCTCCACAAAACTCAACCTATGGGCTATGGATCTTCGGCCCCTGCTACCATCAAGATATGCCACAGAGTGTATAACCAAACCCTCTCTAGGGGTGAAACCTACTCGGAAGTTCCACTGTCATACATAAAGTGAAAGAATGGCACATTAATTATATAGACAAAGAATCCTTCATTGCATATCAGACTGGAAAAAGAATATACCTTTTGCCATTGTACGTAGTTCCCATCGACGCGAAAGCTTGGGCCCTCTGGCTGAATAATTTGTAGGGGTTTCACATCACTTCGGTCAACCCCTCCTCTTGTCTCACCGGCAGTGTAATTCCTCAGTGGATCAGCTGGAAGTAAAGGTACAAGTTTGCGGTCTTCGAACTCTATCACCTGCATGATTTGCACATCAACAAGCACATGTATTCCTTCAATTGGTCTTGCATATCCATTTTCCATTGGGCAGTCGCTCTCTGCTCTGCAGAATACCAGTGGTTTGGCAAGCCTGCGGCTAGGAGCATCAGCTTCACTGTGATAACCAACACACCTGTAGGAAACATATTCAGGTAAAAATGCAATGATATTTTTAAAAACAGTTCTTAAAGGAGAAGAAATGGGAAAATTCAAGAATATTTCAACTAACCAGGGGTCAACCATCACAAGGTACATGTCATCAATGCCCCTTCTCTTCATTGCTTCAATAAACGGAGGATAATTTTTAACAACGGATTCACATTCAGCATACTCTTGTGCATCCTACATTCAGAACAAAGTTGAGATCATTTGTAAAAACTGATGTTAGTGAAATCTAAAGAGATGACACATATACAACTCACTTAAGCCAAAGAACTTGAAATTTGTAAATTTTAACATGTTTTGGGTTAACTTAGAGCAGAACTTTTTATGCAAATTTTGTTCTCCTTTTGGTATATAAGTATGCTCTATGTTCCATATGACGGGAAAGAAAACACAGTTCATTATTAAGAAGAGAGAATAAGTGAATTATTATAAGAAAATAAAAATATATATAGGATGGGCAAATACACAAATAGGTAAAGGCATTATGAAAGGAAAGAAAAAATATGATTAGCTCCACTTATCTATGGATTGAATCAATTGCTCAACTTGCATGTATAGGTACACTTGATCAGCTTCTGGAATCAGAATAGAATGTTCAATTTGGCTGATATGCTTTCTCCCTGTTTCCTATAATCCTACTGACTCTTTTGTTTCATAGTGTTTAGAATCTCTAGAACACCAGTATTAAGACCACTTAATAGTACCACAACAGCAACATATCCAGTGTACTTGATAGAAACTAAAGAAACAAAAATTACCACAAGGAAATTCAATTAAATGTTCCATTAGGATGGTGGAGGTATTCGCTACATTAAAATTTTCTTAAATTAATTAGTGGATCTTGCCAACTGAACATTCTAAAGAATACCAAAAGATGACAAATGATGTCATCACAAATATGCTTGAAATTCATGTGTAATTATTAGAGCTCAGGGTGAAAGCATTTAGCTAGAAACATAAATAAGAACTTTGTATTGCTCTTACTTAGAGTTCCCACATCATTTCTTTGGTAACCTAACTGCATCTACTGTTCATATACTTCTATTCTTTTGAAGTTCTAAACATGAGTTAAGTGCTTACCATAGGTGGCTGAACATCTGGAACAACTTTTGATGAAATCACTTTTCCCCTGTGTTGTCCACCTCGAGCAGCAGCATGTGCTTCAGTTAGCTGAACAATCCATATGCTTGTCTCGTTTGTCTTCTTATTGTAAACAATAAGTCTAGCTCGCCTTGGAGGTAGTTTAGAAGGAACAAGAAGTCCTCCTTTGGTTCTGGGCAACAATGATGATTGGAAAGGTGGGTAGAAATAGGCATCTGCCAGTGCAACAAAAGTTTTATCTGGTTCCAAGAGAACCACCTCAACAAAGCGCATGCCATCCCTGACCTAAAATGTTTTTGCAAAAAGTTAAAAGACACAAGAAGAGTTAGTGGAAATTTAGAGCAAAAGATGTCCTGTTGTTCAACTAATACTTTTTTGGTTGTTCTACACAACAAATGGATGAAAAAGAGATGGTGATTAATTAACAACCTCAGGCGTATCACCGGCAGCTCTAACGGTTGCCACAGCCACAGAGATCTCAGCAGCAGTTAAAGGGTCCAAAGGATGACAAGTCTGAGCTCTATGCATGATTTGGATCACTGCATAAACATGAAATCGTCAAGCATTCAACATCCTACCAACTACTCCAATAACAATAACAAGATCCTTCCATTAGCATTTTCTATTTATCTCTTCATGTTCTTTTTAAAAGTTTCTTCATCTATATATGCGTTTCGCAACAACAACAAGAAAAACAGTCACATCTTCACAGAACAGAGGAAGGACATCGTAGATTGACAACCAATATAAATATAGTTCAATAAATCCTCTAAACTGGAACAAAATACATCGGAATAGAGCAAAATGGATATACAAAACTGGTCTCACATAATTTGAAATTTAGGCATAGTTGATTGATTCATTTTAATTTGAAAGGATAACACTCTACGTTAATAATCGCAGGGTAAAATACAATACATATAAATACATATGTATTTTGGACCATGCAATTGTACACTTACACTGGATAAGTTCAAAAGTAAACCTAATTATTGACTAAACAAAGGTTTAAATCAGCAATTCTACTGTAGCCTGTTTAAACAAAACCTCCTTCTCCTACCCGTGAGCACAAAAATCACATGAGATTTCTAGAAAGCGATGATAAATAATTGAATATAACTGCAGCGCAACCAACTCAGTATAGCGGTTAGCGAGAAAATCATAAATCACAAACAGAAAAAGAAACTAATGCATCTGAATCGCCATTTCCATCCGTAAACCTCACTAAAAATGCAGCTCAATCAACTCAGTGAAGCGGTTATCGAGAAAATCATAAATCACAAACAGAAAAGAAGCTAATGCATCTGAATCGCCATTTCCATCCGTAAACCTCATGAAAAATGCAGCGCAATCAACTTAATGAAGCGGTTGTCGAGAAAATCATAAAACACAAATAGAGAAAGAAACTAATGCATCTGAATCGCCATTTCCATCCTAAAACCTCACGAAATTCATACATGCAAGTAGTCAAATCACATACAGATACAATACAATGCAATATACTCCGAATTCCGATCGTCAAAGTTCAAATTACACACAAAACGCTCGCATTAATGATTCATTACCTTTGTTAGACGCAATTGCAGGCGTTTGTTCTTTCTGATCGTCGACGGATGGAACGACGACGGAATCAATGGCGGAGACGGCAGTATTCTCACGACGGACGACGGAAACGGAAGGCGGAGGGATGAAAGAAGCAGCAGTAGTAGTAGGAGTAGGAGTCACGTTTTGTGAGGTTTCGGCCATTGCGACTAGTACTTATACTGTGATGATCACAGTGTACTGACGGTTTAATTAATCACGCGCTTCGCCTCTTTCAAAATCAGTCGATTGATCGATCAGCAAATACTCTTTTGTGCGTTTTCTCGCCACTCTCCTTCTGCACAATAGTTTGTTACGTATGTACTGCTATGGCACTATGCTGAGAGCTTAAAGTTTGTTACGGTTTTTTTTATTTAGATTCCCAAATTATTTAGGAGTGCAAATAATCTGGGAAAACGGTTATTTAAGGCTATCTTCTCTCCATTTATATATTATTATTTGACTTGGTATGATGTTTAAAAAAAAAAGAAAGATAAATGCAGAATTTACTGTTTTATAGTATTATTTGACTTAGTATGATATTTTAAAAATAAATAAAGAACTTTGTAGTACCTAAAATAATTTAGATAATTATGAATTTATGATAACTCATTGATTTATCTAATATCTAAATATATAATTAATTTATGTGGTTGTAAATCATAGTGTAAAAATAAAATATTAAAATTAGTTATTTTTAGTTATAGTAAAATTACATTTTTTTTAATGAAGTAAAAAGAAAAAAATATCAAATAAAATGAGATTGAGGAAGTAATCTGTATTATAATTATTTTGACAAGAGTGTTTCTCGAATACTGCTCACTCCTTACTTTAATTTAGAAGATTGTGAGTTTAAAATTCGAATCACGAGAGAGCAAAAAAATAAGAACTCTCAAGGAGGAATACAAAATAAAATTATATAAACCTATCTCATCTTAAAATGAAACAGAAGTAAATATATATTGCGATATACTCGCGTGGATTCTTCCTTAATTATTCCCGGGGTATTTCTATACAAAAATTATTTTTACAAATTTATTAAGTTTTTAGATTTTTGTTTTGGGTCAAATTTTAGTAAAAGCTAAAAAGCTTTGAGAGAACTTTACTTCGTCAAATCAAATATTTTGCTAAAAATATTAAAAATTTAGCCAATATTTTTATGTATTTTATGCGAAAAAATAATTACTCTATTGAAGTAGATAACCATTACACCTAAATAATATATTAATAAGAATTAGTATACACATTGTGTTGGAATAGAATTCGAATTTCTCATCTACATAAAAGAGGTGATATTTAGAATGGTCTTTGAATATTCCTTTTATATATATATAAGTAAAAGTTTTATTAGAGGTCAAAATGTTGAGTCATATTTGTGTTAGGAAATTTTTATAATGTCCTTCACTAAGCCATGTTATATTTGTATGATATATTTCTTTGCTTGACAATGAGTTGGTGCCATTTTTCTAGCAACTTGTATTATTATTATTTTCAATTCTTCGACCATCACCTATGTTTATTATATACGGAAAAAAAAAAGGGAATGCAGTGATTACGAGGAGGAGGAAGAAAAAAAGAAGATTATTAAGAATGATATTAGAAAAAATATAATCAAACACAATTTTAGCTTTAAAAAATCCAAATAAATTAGTAAAAATATATAATTTTATATAGTCAAACTATTATATGTCTCACATGTTAAAGTCATACTTGTACAAGGAAATCTTTTACAATGTGCCTCACATGCATGTCATGTCATATTTCTTTATTTGACTAAGTGAAATTAAGGAGTTGTAATCTCCATTTTAATTTCCTATTTTTCAACTACTCCATTTTCAATTACAGGTTTATAAAAAAATAAAAATCAAAATTGACCGGTATAATCAAACGCCTATTATAGGTCTCACATTATGAATTAAAGAGAATTTTTTTATATATAACAATGTGCCATGCATGTCACTATTTTTATTTTTATTTTGGTTTGATAAGTTGAATTAATGAGTTGATCCCATGGTATCATGAGATAGAAAATGATTGAGTCAAATGTTAAAGGGAGGGAAAAAAAAAAGAGAAATATGGCAAAGTCAATATATAAATAAATATAACATGGCAAAGTCAAATGTGAAACACATTTTTGTTACACAATTTCTATTTTAATTAGCTTTTTGGGAAGTTTTTTTGACCTAGCACCCATTTCACCAAGTTAGGCACATTTGATGTACAATCAAATTGGTTATTTATCTTCTTTTAGAGTTGACTAAAATGTGTTAATTATAGATTGTTGTCTAAAGTTTTGACTTTGATAAAGGCCAAAAGTATCGTATATATCCCCAATTCTTTTTACTCTCCATTTATATTTACGTATTCAGTATATTAAGAATAATATAATTGTCCAATTTTACTTATTCAGTTTAATTAATTAGTATAGTTTTTGAAACTATATTGTCCAACATATATACTTGTTAAATTGTGTGAGATTTTTTTTTATAAAAGTGATACACGACAGTGGACAGGTAAAGGAAAGAATTGCTGGATATAATTGCCAGCTGTTTTTGTTTGCTTATTTTTAGTGTGGAATTCAATAATATTTGTATTTATCTTGGAGAAGTCAGATTATCTTGGGGGAAAATACAAATGATTAGTGAATTTGAGCCTTAAATGATTATTAAGAATTGACATTTATTTAGTTATAGTAATGGTGATCAGCTTGATCAATTCATAGGCTAAGATTAATGAGAAATTGAGAATTGTATTGAGATTATATTATTAAATATTAAGTCCTTAACTAACTAGGCTAATTAACTTAATTTAACCATAGCTAACTATAACTAACTTTGTAACAAGATATAACAAACTTTCTGATATCACTATTCACAGTAACTAATTACTCTCAACTCTTATTGTTCATAACAACATTACTCCCTCCATTTCAAATTAATTAAATTGTTGAGGTGTTTCACACCATCTAAGAAAAGAAGATTAAAACATAAATTAGGCATAATTTTTCATTTTTATCCTTATTAATTGTTGTCAAATTTATGATTAAAATAACTAAACATTAATTAATAACTAATTCCTCCAGTACTAACTAATGAAGGGTAAAATTGGAAGAACATTCTAAAAGTAGTCTTGAAAATTGAACAATTAAGTTAATTTGAAAAATGAAAAATATTTCAACAATTCAATTAATTTGAAATGGAGGGAGTATATTTTTTTATGTTGCAATTTTAATTTCAATGAAATTAGTTGTCGTTTATAAATTAGAACTTAGGAGCAAATTTCATATGAATTTCAAATAATTTCGTCTTTGGAGTTTAGTTCATCAAATTTGTGATGGATATAGCATGGTTGCTAGCAATGTTCATGCCTCATTGATCCCATCTCGAATATGAATAAAGTATAATATTTGTATTGTATTATATTATATTATAATCATAAATAAATGCTAGTTTCACTTTCAAATATTAATCATTTTAATATGTTAAATATGATTATAAATTTTTTTATGTTTTAGAATAGTAAGACATCAATTTATTTAAAATAATGCTTTCATATCCATTTGGCTCATATTTTATAGTATATAGAGTGGTTGGCTTTCGGCTTAACTACTCATATTTTAAGTGAACCCATTTATGTTTACTCCGTTTATATATTAATATTCTATTTGTCCTCACATGTTTAATCATGATCGTTTTATTTTATTTATTATTAATAATCACTTCATATTTAAATACTTTATATCATTCTCAGTGTGTAATTAATTAATTAATTAATACTACCAACATTCGTAGATCACCAATATATATAGTAATAAATATAATTAATCACCTGGTGCCAATATCCATGACACTCCAAGATTCCTTTGTCTTTGCAAATTGAGATTATTTAACAATATTCTTGTCATTTTCTTGTTTAATATTACTCCATCCGTTCACTTTTACTTGTCACTATTTAACTTGACAAATCTATTAAGAAAATAATTATTGATACAAATATTTTAACATACTATCCCTACTAATTAATGTTTAGTATTGGATCTTAAAAAATGATATGTAGAATATTATTTAATATCAAGGGTAAAACATGAAGAAATTTTTTTTGATCTTTTCTTGATATGTTAAAAGAGACAAGTAAAAATGAAAGAGTGTCTGATTAATTGCTTCAATTTGGAAGTTAATACAACATTCAAGAGTGTGGTTAAGGATAATGAGGTCTCGGAGTTCAATTTTCAGCAAACACAAAAATACGAAAGTGGTTGTTTTTTATATTTGTCTAAGTTTATCCTCTACCTAATCACTCTTCCTTTTTTAAGTGTATGGAGAATTACGTGCTTTAATCTATCTGATTAATCTTTTGTTTAAATTTTTTCCATGCAGTATATTCTTGTACATTATTCTGATTATCTTACAACCTGTTAAGAATTTTAATTATAATTTATTCAACAACCATAGATTAGCACCATATCTTATTGATCCCCTTCCCTTGATTAATGAGATAATTAGTGTGATATCAACGTGACCAACTGACCATTATGGGATATCTATGACACGATCGAATGTCACCAAATCCATTAATTTAAAGATACTTAATATATATAATTATGTAATCACATTTTCTGTGTATTTCTTTGTTCTTTTTGGTATTTGTTTTAGGAAAGCAACTAGGTTAACTGGTTAAGTACTTGTGTTGCTAAAATATTTAGGAGGTGTGTGGTATAGATTAATTGAATTTCTTTTAGAAGATAGATTCCAGTTTTCTTGTATATAGTTGGTTAAATTTTTTGAAAAATATTTTTTTATTGAAAAGCAACAGATTTCTTAATAATTAGGAAAATGACTTCCTCATTAAAACATAAAACAGGTGTCGTAATAATTCACTCTTCTCATCCCACCCTCATCCCCCACTTTCATAGCCTCCATTGGAAATCTGGTTGTTTCTGATGATGAAAAGAGCTTTTATCTTATGTGAAATTTATGAAAACTCGAAATGTCGGTAATGTTAGAAGACGACCTACGGCATCTGACCATCAGATGTTGTAGGTCGGTATATCTTTGAAAGCTCAGACGGAGAGAATAAACGGACTCCTCGAGGGCTACTTAAGCCACATCCATCTCCAAACATACATGTAAATTGAATATATTATTTTCGAGTTGTCTTTGCGCGCG